CTCGACTTAAAACACCGACGCATGTGCCATCTACGGACGCACTCGTCGGTGGGGGAGAGCCGAGGGAGACGCCGCCCCCCCCCCGGGCCGACGGCAGGCCTTTTAGACCACGCCCTGGCCCCGCTTGACCTCCCCCTCCGCTCAGTCGAATCAACTGTGCTTAAACAGTTCATGAGTCAACTGATAGACCATTGATCGATTGGACTCTCTGAGTAGTCATGAACAGTGATTATGGTGGGCGCCAAAACACCCCCTGGCGACCCTCCCGCTGGACCCCAGCGCATCAGGGGTCCGTCCAACATGTCCTCTGGAGGACCAAAGCTGAAAAGCAGCCATCCATGCCGAAACTCGGCTGTGGACGGGCTGCCAAGCACGACGCGCGCCGCGGCTCAAACCTGGTCAACGACCCGAGAAACGCGCATTGGGGACACCCGCGACCGCTTCGAGACCCTCTCAGACACCCCTCGAGTGCCTCAGCCGCGTAGATCGTCCTCTGGGCCCGGCGCTGACCACGACGACCACTCGGAGCGCTCGACGCGCACCGCCGGGGCTGCCACGCGCGCGCGCGCGATGATGGAGATAAAAACACGGCCGCGCGCGGGGAATCCCATCGCGACACTATACCTTCGCGATTCCCCGCGCGAGGCCGTGTTTTTGTTGCACCAGGACCGACATATCGCCCCTCGACGCGTCGAAATGGCCCGGATCCAGAGGCCCCGTTCGCCCCGAAATCGTGCTCGCCTCTCGAGATCGAGAGCGGCGCGTCGAAGATCGCCCGCCGGCGCGGCGCGGGCTCGAAGGCCGCCGGGGCGCCCGGCGGACCGAGCCGCCGAACGCGGCCGTCAAAGTCGGGCGCTGCCCATCGGATCGGCTTCCCAGTGCACTGGAGCCCCTAGAGAACTTTAGGCCTGTGTCGAAGTCGCCCGGGGTCGCCGGACGCGCGCCAGACGCGGCCCAGACGCTCCCCGGACAGCCCAAGACGCTCCCGGACGCTCCCGGACGCTCCCGGACGCCGCCGGACGCCGGACGCTCCCGGACGCGGCCGGACGCGAGCCGGACGCTCCCGGACGCGCGCCGGACGCCGCCGCCGGACGCCGCCGGACGCCGACTCAGGACCTGAGCCGGACGCCGCCGGACGACGCCGGACGTCGCCGGACGCTGCCGGACGCCGGCGCCGGACGCGAGTCCGGACGCGGCCGGACGCCGACGCCGGACTTCCGGACGCAAAGTTCCGAACCGGCCCCTAATTAATGACATTTTAAATTTGGCCTTTCTAAAAGCTTGAAGTGCATTTTGAAGGAGCTTGAAATGCAATGACAAGGTAAGCGGCGGCGTTGAAGTTTGACCCGAAGACTTCATTTTGCTATTTTGAGGAAGCTTAGGTGCGGCGTTGACAGAATGACACAGCCCGGTGTGTTTGGCAGTGTGACTTAGAGTGCCGCTGGGCAGCGGACCGGGGACCTCAAGGAGGCTGCCCCATCGCGTGGTGCAGCTGGCGATAGGTATCTTTGGCCACGTTGAGGCCGGACTTGCCTCTGGGGACTATCCGTTGGGAGGCCGTTGACGGGGCTGGAGAGGCCGTTGGGGGGAAGTGTCCTTGGCGTCCTGTGCTCCCCCGCAGCGAGCTGGGGAAGTAGCGCGGACACGCGAGATGAGGATGTGGTCTAGGCGTTCTCGTCGACGACAAGGGGCGGGCCCTCTGCGGGGCGGCCGCTCATGGCGTCGATGGTGCGCGCGAGGCGGTCGGCGACCTCGGGAGCCGTAAGCTGGTTCGCCGGGTTCGCGGCGGAGCGGACGTAGCGGATCTCCATTGTGGCCGAAGTAGGCCTCGTACGCGGACGTCCCGGAGACGGGGTCCGCCCTGACATTCAGACAGTCGGCGGCCGCGAGGCACCTGGGGCGGCCCAGGGTGCCGTCGGCGGTCGTCAGTTTGTCATCGTCTGGCTCTGGTAGGTCGTCCAGGAGCGCGGAGTGCGGTGAATTTTGAGAGCGGCTATCTAGCTTAGTGTCTCCTAAGAATGGGAATTTGTCAAACATGTCATCGATCTTGGCTTTGACGTCCATGGTTAGGATTCCTGTCATGATGTCATAGTAGACTGCCATTCCTAGAATGAATTAAGGAAGGGAAGGGAAAACTAGCAGGATACGCAGTAGGAGCGCAGTGGGGTAAGGTGCACTGCAACATCAAGATGCAGTTCACTGTTCACTGAAGATGAAGATAGAAATCTCTCTATCTCTCTACTTTTAGAAGTAGGTGCGCCCGGCAGATCGGCCGGCCGACGCGGTTTCGCGATCTGACGTCACCTCGCGACCTGAAAGGTGCGACCTTTTAGAGTTGGGCGCCCTGGGACCTCGCCAGTCCTGTGCTGACGTCAGACGCGACCTGAAAGGTGCGACCTTTTAGAAATAGGCGCCCGGGGCCTGCGGCTCGGGCGTCCTTGCCGGCAACTTGGCTCCTCGCTGCCCTTGTCGGCATGCTGCAGTCGGCGTCGCGGCGGCGCGTTTAACTAGCGAAACGAGCGTTTAACTAGCGAGACCCGTCGAGTCAGATTCCTAACTCCATATCCCGCCGGCGGGATATGTTAAGCTGCCGAGAAAACGGCATATATGAGCGCATTTAGGACTGTTTGAGGCGAAAATGACTCGTTTTGAGCTCCCAGGGGCGGCCTGAGGAACTCTCTGAGCTGATAGGACAGCCCACGGCGGCGGGCGAGACCGGCGACGGACGCGTGGACCGCAGACGGGGTGAGAAACGCCCCGACGCGGCCACACGGGGCCGCGGCGGCGAGCCGTAGGGACGCGGCCGAGATAGCCCCGGCCCGTGCGGGGCGTCTTGCGGTCGTCGATGACCGCTCAGACCACCGTCCAGGAGGTCCATGACGACGATCTGCCCGGCGAAATGCAGCAGCGGTGATTGATCGACGCGAAACGCTGGGTTCTGCACCAAACGCAATGATCTTCGGGCCATTCGAGGCCAAAACAAGCCCTGGGAACGTCTTCCACGCGTCCCAGGACCACCTCGACGCGTTGGTCGACGTGCGGCAGGTAGGCAACGTGCTCGGAGACGGTCCGATCATCGTCTACGAGCAGAACCACGCCGCGGCACGCGTTTCCCAAATACCGTCGCGCACCGCCAAACCGTCTCCGGGAGCGCCTCCGTCGTGCGACACGGGTCGTAGAGCTACCACTAGATGCCGTTCGACCTCTCACTCGCAATACCGTCGGCCGTGAGCGTTCGACTGACTCCTGGGCCACGCGGCGATGTCTTCACGGCTCAAATCCGTCGGCGTCGACTCCCTCTTGGTGCTGCCCGCAGGCGCAATAGCAGCGCGTGGCGCGCGTTCGCGTCGCAGAGGCGCATCCGAGGCAATGTCTAGGACACCCTCGAGGCCCTGGAGGCGCCTGGGAGTGCTGCTGCGCGACGTCGTGCGCGGCCGCACGCCTGAGAGCGCTGCCAAAGCCCTGCGGCAAAGCAAGGGGTAATAAATAGTATGGGGTGGTGCCAGCAGCTCAACGAGATTATGCCCCGCGAGGTCCTCGTACTGCAACCCATCGTTTTGGGGCAATGTTGACGACTTTTGGCCGGGGATGTTTCGACGCCGCCGTCGTCGACGCGGCCCCAGGCGGACCGCAGCGGTATTCGCTCCCCCGCGAAGGCGCCCGCGACAAGACTTACGCGTCCGGGCGGTTCGGGTCCGGTGGAAGGAGACCGAGGCGCGCTGGAGGGCGCCGTGTCCGGTTTGGCGCCACGCGAGGAAGTGAGTTTTGGGGCAGCTCTTGTACGTGTTCGCGATGATGATGGTCGTGGACCGTCTGCTGGCGCGGCA